TATAAGGTAATATTAGGAAATCAAATAAATGAATAGATTAGAAAATAAGGTATTTAATATATAGGTAATATAAGGTCACAACAACAACTTCTACAACAACAACTACTACTACTACTAGTACTAATACTACTACAAGTCATATTAATAAAAACAAATGATGGCACCCATTGACTTGCATTGAAAAAAAAAGACTATGCAAGTCAATGGGTGCCAACTATACATTTTTCAAAAAAATCTTCTTTTGTGTAGAAAAAAATAACTCTAATAAGGTTTTAAACAAGTAAAGATTAAGTAAACGACAAAATTCTTATTTTTTGGGTGAACTGTCCATTTAAATAAACTATAATATAATATATTAAAAATTATATCAATAATAACAACATGGCACAGCAATCAGCTGTAATTGTGCCGGCTTCACGTTTATCCAGCTATTTTGAGAATACTATTTGCTTCACTTTTTTGGTTGACTGAAACAGGTTGTTTGCTAAATGTTTTGTTGAAAGATTTACCCTGGATATAAGGATAACACACAAAAATCAATGAACTGTTGGGTATGTTTTTTTCATTTAAATTCAATTATTTTTTATTATAATTTATCATTTTATTATATAGATTTTTTTATTTAAATGATAATTTTTTTAGATTTCATTTCTGTTTTCATCTACAACTAGTACTACTGCTAATACTCCTGTAATAACTGTGCCTGCTTTATATTTATCCACTTTTTGGGTGGAAATTATTTACATCAGACTTTAATTTGGTTGTTGACTGAAACAGGATGTTTGCTAAAAGTTTTTTTTTTTTTTTTTTTAAAGTTCCATTGGATAAAACTCAAACAAAAATACTTTTTCAATTACATTTAAATGACACTTTTTAGCCCAACTGTTGGCCTTATCAATACAGTTATTTGACCCATGGATTTACAGCAACCCAGTAGAGTATGCTAAATGAATAAATGTAAAGCGGACCTATTATTCCCCTTTTTACAAGTTGTAAAAAAGGTCTCTAATGTCCCATGAGTGTGTATGTGAAGTTTCAGCCCAAAATAGCACACAAATAATGTTTCATAACTCTTTGAATCTGCCCCTTTTAGGGTATGATCCTAACGATTCCAATTGGGTGACTGTCACTTTAAATTTAAATGAGATTGTGCTCTTTCTTTAATAGGGCGGAGCTACAAATGCCTACTAGAAACCATAGTGGCAGATTCAAAAACAAGACTAAGGTCCTATGCTAATGAGGGAGAGATCTTCACTAGTGGGCAGGTCTTTCCTTCTCTGAAGACATGTACAAAGGCAGAATGTCAATCAAACTGTTTCTGCAGACTGTTTTTATGAAATGTGATTTTTAAAAAAGAAGTTACATTTTTACCATTAGAAGCTGGGTATATTCAGATACCCCACATTCACACCCCTTAAAGAAGTTATTTTTGCATAATTGGTCCTCTTTAAAGCTAACCAGCATCAATTCACTGTGTTTAAAAGTAATGCTGTGATTTGGATTCACCATGCTAATTATGGACGCCGGGATCTAGTAACCTGCCCTCACAAATTAGCGACTTCATCAGACTGTTACTCTCCTCAGACCAGCAGCCTGCGCTCCAGGTACAGCAGAAAAACACCATCCACAGTCACAGAGGACAAACAGAAACTTCAGATATACATAGACAATATGCAAAAGAATAACAGGCATAATCAAGATCTGCCAATCGTTATACACAACAGCTTTACTTTAAAAATGCACAATAAAAAGAAAAGACAAGTCATGAATTGTCAGATGTGTTGTAATTAATAAACATTAAAGACACAATTCATAAATAACATTTGTAAAATCTGCATTAAATGATGGTTTTGTTTAATTAATATTTATTTTTCTTATCAGCTGCAATGGAAAGAAGACTTGCCATTTAAATGCCTCAAATTCAGTCTTCTCCAATCAATGCCCAGACGTGCATAAATACTTAGAGGTGACCTACAGCTGTGTATAATACTGTAAGTATCCCGACACTTACATCTATTCTAGATCTTTTACATGGGTTTTTAAATGAAAACAGATTCTATAAATGATGTTAATCTGTTGGTTGTTGTCAAACAGAATTATCATTATAGTTTGCTGTACAAGTGCGATTTTATTTTAAAACATACTAATTCAAATTTGATATAAACCAAACCGGTAAAAAAGATTAACTGGATTTACTTTTATTTTTAAGGTAAGTGGTAGCAAACTATTTATATATAGGCCGATTTTAAACAAACATATTAGGTTGAACATTACTAAATTTCAGTTTTTTTCTCTAAATTCCACTCATATAAATTGTTTGCAACCACATACCATAAAACATTTAACTAAATCCAATGAGTCCTTTTTTTCAGTTGCATTAACATATTTATAATGAATGCAAAGTAATATAAAATAATATATAATACTATTTTCATACAAAATACAGTTATTGGCAGGGTTTAGGTTTATGTAAAGTGTGCTACTTTAGCGTTGCTGCTTGTTTGTTTAAACTACTTATTTAAAATGAGCTGAAACAACACAATTCTTGGGATTTGTTTTGGAACTGAAAACTGAATTTTTTTTATGTTCAATCCACTTAAATTTGTTTGGTTAACTGAATTGATTTGTTTGGGACAACATGAACAAATTATGTGGAACAGCACTTAACACAGCACCTCTAACCCCATACTCTCTGAGCACCCTCCACAGAATGCCACAAGGGACTCGGTTGAATGCCTTCTTAAGTTCACAAAACATATGTGGACTGGATGGGCATACTTCTATGAACCCTCGAGCAACCTGGTGAGGGTATAGAGCTTGGCCAGTGTACCCCGTAGCTTGGACCTAGGTTCCTTGGACCTAGGTTCAACCATTGGCCGGATCCTCCTCTCCAGTACTGTGGCATAGACTTTGCCAAGGAGGCTGAGGAGTGTGATCCCCCTATAGTTGGAGCACACCCTCCGGTCACCCTTCTTAAAAATGGGAACCACCACCCCAATTGCCCAATAAATGATACAAAAGAAAAAAATCTAAAACAGCTCACTTTTGATTAAAACATTGTACCAATTATGAAGGATTCACATTTACAAAAATGTTCCTTTAAAGTCTCTCCAGATAAAAAATCATTGACTGATAAGTGACCTCAAAATTTAGGAAATTGTTGTCATTGGATGTCTTACGTTTTTGTTTTAGACCTTTCGAGAGCCTGTATCAGACTATCAGGTGGTGAGAGAAAAGGCAGCGTCTCAGAGAAGAGATGTTGAACGAGCTCTCACACGCTTCATGGCCAAGACCGGAGAGACGCAGAGCCTATTTAAGGATGACATCAGTGCTTTCCCTTGTGAGTGTAATCATAGAATTTGAGTGTACTGCACTATTGCCTGTTTATTGAATGTGTATTCATATTGAATTTGTATGTGTGTAATCAGTGATCGCTGCAAAACCAAGCCCCATCCCATATCTGAGTGCCCTGCTGCCCTCTGAACTGGAGCTACAGTCACTGGAGGAAACGGATTCGTCTGAGCAGGATGACCAGATGGACAATGATAACAACACCAGTCACATCATGCAGGCAAGATTTAAACCATCTTTCCTTGTCAACATTTTCCATGTTTGTGAATGTAACTAAAATACAGTCAAAACATTAATATCGTGATTCATTTATCGCGATTTATTTATTTAATTATAGTTATTAATTATTGTAAGAGGTGTTTTTTTGTGTTAATATATTGGAAAATATAAATTTTTCATGCAATGGCAAAGCTAAACTTTCAAGAGCCCCTACATAATCCTTTAGAAATCATGCTAATGTGCTCGATTTTTAAAAATTATTCATGTTTCACAAATAAAATAAACAGTTTACACTAAATAAAATGATTTTCTTGCTTAGATTTAGATTTCTTGATTAGATATTTTTGTCTTGTTTCTAAATATCTACAAATTCCTAAATCAAGAAGCATTTTCTAGACAAGCAAAACATATAGTCTTGTTTCCAGAAATAATAGGCCAAAATTAAGTGTTTTTCCTTAAAACAAGCAAAATAATCCTGTTTTTCATTTTTACGTAAGATTATTTTATTTAATTTTAGGATAAATAAGAAAATAAGAGTACGCATAAATAAGAAAAGCGTTTTTTGCAGTGTATGATTTTAATATTTCTGTGGAAACTTATATTTTTAAATATATTTGAGGAGTGAATGGCTAAAATACCATTTTAGGTTTTGTTTGTAATATTAATATTTACTTGAATCAATTTTATGATTTCTATTTATTTATTTACATTATTTACCTAATTTCTGAAGGATCACGTGACACTGACAACTGCTACAAAATATTAGGTGCATTCAACTTGAACCATAGCTGCAGCTGGCAATCAACAAGATTGGGAGGCTGTCAGGTCAGACACCTCGGGGCTGGTATTTAGCTGCATGATGACAAATCAAATCACATGGCGAGATCAATGATTTATTTATATATTAATCCAATCACATTAATCCCAAAAGATTGGACAAAAGAAGTGAAATGCACTTTCAGTGGAAATTTGACAGAAAAAGCAAGATATATCAATGTTACTTTTAAATGTCTTGACAGGATATTATTATTATATTATTTTGTATTATTTTAGAACTATATTATAGAATAATTATTTATCCCAATTTGTTAAGAAAAACGTTATGTTGGAGGCACAATCAATGATGACTATTATATTACAAGTCTGTAAAACTTATTTGAGTTAATATTTGGTTATTTACTAAAAAACATAATTTAAATCGGATATGAAGCTGTATACAGTAAAAGGTCTGTATGAAAATCGTCAAAAATAAACTTATGCAACGAATCTAGCTTTTATAAACAAATTATTTAACAAAAAAGATGATTAGGCCTACTGCAGTAAAATATTTGAAGTCTTTTAATAAGCATGATATGTACAAAATGAATATAGCATAAAAAGTTAATTGTTTGTTTGGAAGTTTGTGAGACGGAAGTTGTCCAATAACAAACCTGAAACACATGTGGTTGTTGTCATGCGAGGAATCCAACCAATTGTATAACATCGGTGTCGTCATCGCAGTTCCTGCAGTCGCTCTTTAGATGCTGCACTGGCTGAATCAGTCGTCTGATCTCAGAGAGCTGTCACGGTACTTTGAAGCCACATGTGGTAGTTACGTGGCGTTGGTGCAGCTTCAAGCCGAACAAAATGTATAATCGGCATGCACCCCTTTAAGACAGGTTTTGGTCAATCTCCACAGCACTGCATGAAGTTGAACGCACCTATTCTCTAAATTCAGGAATAAATTGAAATGGTCATTTGATTTTTTATACGTCATAATATTATTGTTTGTACTAAATTTCTTGTCAATCAAAAGCACTCTTAGTGAGCATAAGTGACTTCTTTAGTATAAACTAATTTTTATTATGTGTTAGTTATTGATTAGTTATTATTATTAACTAATGTGTATTCTTTATGTGTATTTTTCTATTTTTTGTTGTGGAAATGTATGAGATTGTGTGATCCGGAAGTGAATAAACAGAGCAACATGCTGTGATGAATACTGTCTGATGAAGAGCCGGTGTGCTGAAACGTTACACGCTTTGTGTTAGCCTTTTTAATTTAACAAATTGGTGTTTTTTGGAGCTTTGGTTTTGCCGCCTCTTAAATATATTCTTCTTTAGCATTAAAAATATATAGGAATATAACAGGAAAGTTAATTGCTATAATTTGTCAGTGAATATAAAATAAATCAAGATATATATATATATTTTTTTTTCATGAAAAAACATTGATAGTAAAATCAGGTAATAGTCTGTGTTTGTATGTCTATATACTGTACAAATTCATAATTTAACATATTTCATTTCAATTTGTAGGACGACTCCGGTGCAGATAAGGAGAATGAAGTGCTGCCACCTGGTGGTGTTGTGCCTTCAGGCAAGGCCAATGAGGAAAACATGATTGACAACCCATATCTACGACCAGTCAAAAAGCCCAAAGTGAGAAGGAAAAAATGAATTTTGCTCTACTGACTTGGCCACATCTACATCAGTTGTTTCTGAATAAGACTTCTCAGCACTTGCTTTTCACATTGTGCTCCTTGAAGTTAGTACCATATGACAAACTAGAGTCTTCAACGACTGCAATTCAAAAACACGCAGCGATCTATCAGGTTACTGACATCTGATTCTTATTTAATGAAAAACTGTTCTGTACACGTCAATAATATTAGATGGATTTCACATCACTTACGGTTGATGTTTTTTTTTTTTTTTTTGATAAGAATTC